TATCCATTTAAATTTTAAAATATTGAGTGAATTAAAAAAAAAATACCTATTTTTTTAGGCATATTGATGACTATATCCATTTAAATTTTAAAATATTGAGTGAATTAAATATATATATATATATATATATATATTTAAATTTTAATATATATATATTTGTTTCCTTTTAATTTAATTTTAAAAAATGTCTTAATAAATTAAGTTATGAAAATGATATAATTAGGATTAAATTGTAGTTCCATATCTATTTTTCTAGAAATACACTCCTAACAAATCGTGTTTTCTATGTAAAATCCTTGTATTTCTACTTCAATTTTCCTTTAACCTTTTTCTGGAATGATCTAATTAATTATCCATAATTTATATATAACAGTTATTCATTTGAATTACAATGTGGTGATGCATATTTTTAATCTTATTTTTAATTTATTTAAAATTTAAAAGTTATTTAATGTGATTGAAACATCCTAAAAATATAGTCAAAAAATTTCATTTTAAATCATGAAGAAAACCATAGTCATCCAAACATCATATAAAAACCATAAGTCATGTATCTCAAAATATCATAACATCTGTCAAAATATATCAGAGTATAAACATCTCAGGCTAAACAAATGATGTGTGCACTACAATCATTCCGAGCTCTTCCCCTTACTACCAGAAATACCTGAAACCAAAACTGAAAACTGTAAGCACGAAGCTTAGTGAGTCTCCCCAAACTACCATATACCATACACATAATCACATAATCACATAACATAACATTGGGCCTTGCCCGCTACATCGGGCCCGCCCTGCATTGGACCGAAGTCCGGCATCGGGCCCCGCCCGGCATCGAGCAAAGTTCGGTATACATATCAACAATACACATAATAAGCACATAACATAAACATATAAACATTCATCGGGCCCCGCCCGACATCAGACCGAAATCCGGAAACATATAATATAGGATATAAACATTCCTCGGGCTTTCCCCGGCATCGGACTGAAATCTGGAACATATAAACAAGCACATGCAAGAATCACGAAGACATCAAGCATACAAACATTCCTCGGGCTTTCCTCGGCATCGGACCGAAGTCTGGAAACATATAAACACATAAACCTACATCGGGCACTGCCCGGCATCGGACCGTAGTCTGGCACATGCTAACATACATAAACGGGTCGGTATTGGTGCCTTAGACCCGTTCCTAGGAGGAAACTCACCTCGCAAAGCTGAAAGCAAAATCTCACGGTAAGGGATCTCCTACGGCTGCTCCAACGACTCCCCGGCTATCAATATCACAACAACACTTAGTCAAAATCCATAATCCTTCTTAGGGTAAAATGACTATTTTACCCCTTGGTCTATCTTGGACCATAACCTAGGCCCAATTCCATCTAATCTTTCCAATCCCACTAATGGCCTAATTTTCTAAATTGGGCCCAACTCCTCAAATGGGCCTTCCCTTAAGCCCAAACATGTCCTTGGCCCATTAACCGACTCTGATGGCTCATTAAGGCCTAATACCTGATAAGTCCAAGGTTTGGCCCAATCCGAGGCCCAAAAGACGTGAAGTCCAAATCCTGAGAGTACGCTGAGCGTACTCCTCTGTACACTAAGCGTACAGCTTGCATGGTTTGTACGTTGCGCGTACTGGGTTGCACGCCCATCGTACTACCCTATTAAGCCATATTCTTCAAAACTGCTTAATCCCTTAAGATATTAAGTCCAAATTACAGATCTGAGTCCATTAACATGTCTTAACTCATAAAGTCGATTACTTGGTGGCTTGCAACCCACCAAATGGACCCAAACTTGGAATATAGCAACTAACTTCCATGGAAATGGATAAAACTCATGCATGGTCACAAAAGGACCTTAAAGATCGAGACTTTACTGCTAATGGGACACATTTAGCACTAAGGGTGGAAACCCTAAGCCTAGATACGAAGTTCAACCATAAAAATCCATTCTTTGGACCTAAAAAGGTCCAAAACTCTAATAACATAGATCTAAGCATTCATGAGGAAAGTTTGAAGCTTTATACCTCCAATGAGTGCCAAATAGTGAGATAATCTCAGATCCTTGAGCTCAAGATACTCAAGTTCTTCTTCTCCAACTCCTCCTTTCTTCTTCCAAGCTCCAAATCTCCAAAACAAGCTTCACAAGGCCAAATACACACAAGGATGAGGAAAGAGAGGCTATCTAGGATTTCTGAGGTTAAGAGGCTGGTAAGGAGGCTAGGGTTTGAGTCATAATGTTCTATTTATATGGCTTAAACCCTAAAAATTAGGGTTTGGAGTCTGCTCACGTACGTTGTGCGTACTCCTTGGTACGTTGCGCATACGTGCATGCGGCCCCCGAATCCAATGCTCCTCTACGCCCCACGTACGCCAAGCTTACGCCCATCGTACGTCTTCTGGGCAGCCCAACTACACGACCCACTTACTAATGGTCCACTCAATAATCCATCTATTAAATTCTTAGCCCGAGAATTTAATTAAAGAAATATTAAATGATTATTACCTCAAGTGACGGATGTTACAGTGATGATGTATATTTTTAATTTATTATGGTTATTAAATAAATGATCATTTTGTATATTTATATTTTATAATAACTATTAAAGAATTGATAATTTATTATTTTTAATTAGGAGAGTAAAATAGTCGTTTATATAGATTCAAACAGTGTATTCAGTCCAAAAAAGAAACAAGATTTATATCAGCAATACTTTGGTAATGAAATTTTTTTATGTTTTTTGATTAATTGTTTTTTCTTGTTTAGAATATGCTCTTTTTATGTATGTGTTTTCTTATGTACCTTGTAATGCTTTGTAATCATAAATGATTAAGGTTATACCCAATTTCTACATTATGTGATAATCATAGGATGAATTATTATGACAAAGGGCTTCTAGTCCAACAACATTTAGTATTGTTTTTTCTTTTTGAGGTTGAGAGTTTAAGTCCCGCCGTGGACATAAATGTATTAAAGGAGTAGTTTAGGATTTGATTAGATTTGTTGTTTAAAAAAACAAAAAAAACCTAAAATTATTATAGCTAATGTTAGAAATAATGTTATTTGACGCATAATAGTTTTTTTGGTGATAAAGTTAATTGGTAGTGGAAAAGGACTGTGTCAAAATAAAACCTGATGATTTATATGAGTTAAATTTTATTTTATTTTATTTATTTATTTATTTATTTATTTATTATTATTATTTTTTTAGATAGTTACAAGTAAATTGCTTGTAATCATAAATGAAGTGTGAGGGTTGTTTTGCTTTTTGTGCACATGTGTATTTGGAAATTATAATTCAATAATAAGTGAATAAAAATAAACTTTAATTATACATGAATTGTTATGCCACTGTCGATTCATATATTTATATTTATAAAGATACGACAATATTCATAAATGATTAATACTATATCTTCATATACATTTGTAATCTTGAAAGAGTAAAACATATTCATAAATGATTAAATTATTCGGATATACAGTCATACATACTATACGTTTATATACATTTGTAATTTTGAAAAAATAAATAAGAGATATGAAATAGTAAATCATAAGAGATAAGAAAATAAAAATATCTTTGTAATCATAAATAAATAAAATGTAATTGTAAAAATACATTTGTAATCATACAATGTAATCATAATTAAGAAGATATTTATTCATGAACAAAGAAGCAAAAAGGACAAAACTAAAGTCTTTATTATTTAGAATGAATAAACTTTTTTCAAAGTTCTTTGTTTTTTAATCTTAACTGTGGGTACAAAAAATTAAGCAAAATCGTTCAAGACCTAAACAAGAACTATTGAAAAAAATTCTCAAACCCTACCAAAACACAAGATTTTAACTACAAAAAATAACCCAACTCAACTTCTAAAGAAACACTCACTAGGGTTGTGCATGAGTCGGTTTGTGTCGGTTTTGGACCCAAACCCAACCCAACCCAACCCATAATTGGTCGGTTTCTGGTTTTCAGAACCCAATATAATCGGTTTCTGATCGATTTGGTTTTTTGGGTTTTGAGGTCGGTTTGGACAGTTTTTCGGTTTCTTGGGTTCAACCCATACACTCATGGGTTATGGGTTTAAACCCATGGGTTTTGGGTTTAAACTCATTTTTCCAGAAATGAAGCAAGAAATTAAATACTTCAAAAAACACCAAATTGAAGTTAAATACTTCAAAAAACATGAATCTTACAACCAAATAGTCTATTACAAGTTACAACCAAAACCCGAAATAGTCTATTACAACCAAAGCACAATCAAATATGGGTCGGTTTCTCGGGTTGGATGGGTCGATTTCTGGGTAAAAACAGAAACCGAACCCGATTTTTCGGTTTTTAAAAAATTCAAACCCTAGCCGTCGGTTTTGCTCCGGTTTCAGATTTTTCGGTTTCGGTTTCGTCGTTTTTAGTCGGTTTCTTGGTTTGGGTTTGCTCACCCCTACTAGTCACCTTCATCCTTCCATTTGCAAGTCTGTGTGTAACATAAAACAAGCACATAGGTTGGCTTTTTGTCATGGAGATGATGAAGATGTGGAGAGATGGTGTGTCACAACTAGCCTTTTTGGCTAGGAAATTTTGTCTTCATGTAAAGATCAACTCTTGTATAACTTGTAATCTAAGCTGATGTCAAGTACTAT